GTCCTTTACTCATTGCTTTTGCAAATACAGATCGTTTCGGTTCAGCATCAAAGATCTTTGTTAGGGTCGAACACCCCCAAATACGTTCTAACCCTTGATACTTTGAGGGCCTTTGGCAATCATCTACAACACGCGGTTCGTCAGATTCATGCGATCATCCAGAATATCGTCAAAGGGGGGGAGCAGCACCCCCCGTTAGGACCTCCAGGACCCTTTTTAGACAATCAACCCATTAATGGGCTTGTTCCTGGTGGACGAGGAATACCACCAGGGCCACCGCAACCTCATCCAGGGATGCAACATCCATCTCCTTCCTCCGTTCAGACCAATCCACCCGTTGCCCACAGACCTCCGCCTATCCCCCCCAACCAAACTCCTACTGCTCCTCCTCCTGCGAAAGTTAAAAAACCTACTGGCGCACCCACACCTCCGGCTTCTGCTCCTACTCCTGTAGCCAGTGCGCCGACACCTACCGCCCCTGCTGCCTCTCCCCCGACACCAAAGTCCCCCAAATCAAAGCCACCACCCAAAAAGACGAAGCCTGTTCGCAAACCCTCAACTCCTACCACCAAAGTCAACGCTACCCCTACTCTCGAACCTGCTCCGATACCCGCACCACCTACCGCCGGTGTCAAACGACCCCGCGATGAAGAGGCTGAAGCTTCTCTGCCGACACCTGGACCTTCGACTGGTCCAAGCTCTGTTCCTCTGCCTCCAGCTGCTGCTGTCGCAAGCGAACCTTCTCCTCCCAAGCGAGTAAAAACCGACTGGGAGGGACCTGTAAGTGAATCGCTGCAGAAGAAGAATCAGCAGGTTGAAAATATCAAGACCGAGGAAGATGCCACCCAGTTCCTTGAACAGATGACCGAGTTGATAAAGATGGCCGGGACCGAAGATCAGGCATCTTTGTCGTCAGATATCTCTGATACCCTCGAGCAGATTCTCAGAGGTTATGGTGGCCCAGTCGATTCTGATACCTCCTTCTCGTCGTTGGGTCTGGGCGATGTTGGCAGTGCGTTGGATGCTTCCGCTTCCACTTCAGCGCCTCCTGCTTCCAGCGATTTTACAGAGTTTTTCGACTTTTCTCTCTTTCCAAACGAAGATGAATCCGAGTCCAAGATGGGAACACCTGATTTGATTTCCTCATCTTCGACCAACCCGAGCCCTGAATCGCAAGCAGATGCGGATCCAGCGAATTCTGCCGCTGCTTCACTGGATGTGAAGCAAGAGAAGGTTGACCCTTTGCGCTTGAGCTCGTTGAAGGAGATCGACGGTGGAGAGTCGACTTTCTATCAGTCTACGGAGTGGAAATGGGATGGACACATGCCTACTCTGGAAGCTCCATGGGCGATTTTCAACTCATAGTATCCAAAACATCCTGTTGAACAACTTTTGTCTTATCTTATCTCTGGTCCTCCGATATATGTATTAGTTGGTTGTGTAGTTCTGTTTCTTTACCTCTCCGTTGCTCTTAATCTTCCTTTCATGTTATCTTATTCTATAGTTTCTCGACGTGGAGGTGCTGTTTCTCTATCCCTCTGACTTCTTTTCCTCTAGTTTTTCTATTCCTCTTTTTTTTCTCCTTCTTTCTTATTACTTATTCCTCTGTGCAATTCCTACTGTCTGTGTCTCCAGTTATTGTCAGCTTCTTGGTTTACCTGCTCTGTGTATTGCTACCTGTTGTTTTAGTCGCTATCAAATTTTCTCGTCGACATCAGGCCAGATATATATGATGAGGCTACATAGAAAAAAATTCATTGCTGTACTATCGCATAGGTAAGGTTCATCTATTCGAGGCAGAACCAGAAATGCGAGGATGTCGACCACTATTTCCCAAGATCCGGGCACGCAGTGAGTCTACCGCCGTAGCCTTTGATGCGGAACTGGAACCCGGTAAGCGTGAAGATGAAGATGTGGACCCAAGTCTTCGACGTTTATTTTCACGCAACATAATTTCTTCCCTACCCTTACGCCACTGCTCTTTGGCATCCTTTATCGTATCCTCATCTTCTTCAGCCAGCGTGAGAGTCGAAGGTAACGCGTATTTGTCCTTTACCTGCGTATCGGACTTTTCTTTCTCTTTCCGTATCTTCTTATCCTCCCTGAAGTGTTTGCGAGCCTTAAGCGACAAAGAATACGGATCCGAGTTGAAGCGATCAGATACATCCATTAAAGATTCTAGTCGAGGTATCTGGACTTTGGTTTGATGGTTCTGTGCATCAGTTGACTTTTCGAGAGCTGCAAGCGGATCTGAAGGCCCTGCGTTCCCTTCAGTGTCTATGACAAAACACATTTAGTCGATGATCTGCTGGCAAAAAAGGTGAACCGTCTACATACCGTGCACAGCAAAACCACCGTTCTCTTCAGGATCCCAGTCTTCGTCTTTCTGTCTTGCACCGGAGGTTACTATATATCGTGTATTCTGTGGGACAAAAATGTAAGAGAGTATGTCAGAGATATAATGTCCCTGACCTTGGGATCTGTCTGTATCTCGAACCATCCATCGCATAGGTGACATTTACATCGGAAGGAGAAGATGGGAGTCGAGTAGTAATTGCCAATCTTCTTCTTCTCTGCGTTGTAGCGAACACCCATACCGATATGGTTGTTGCATGTTCCGCTGAACGAGGGAGATTGATATTGAATGTTGCGGACAATGAAAGCACGTACCACCAGATGTTGAAAGGAAGTTCAAATCGGGTGATGAGGATTCCTTGGTCCAATTTGCGAGCACGGTCACCGAGAGCATGTTTGCCTGGAGTTGCATCTAAGTTGAGGGAATGACTGAGCGAAGGCTACCGACCTCTGTAGGCATTTAGACTCTTATGCTTCTCGCCATCGTAGTCGGGTGGGTAATATTTGTTGAAGCCTTGGTTTAAATTGGCATATTAGTAGAGGGTTGGAATGAGATTTGGACACCTACTTGCCCTGCATGAGTGTGGTTTGGTATCAAAACTGGCGGCTAGTTAAGCGCCCATACATAACGCCACATAGCGCTCAGATACCAATTTCACTGCGGACCTAATGGAACACTTGAGAACTGGAATAACTCATGAGAACATAGACTAACTCTTCCAATCACAGGTTCACTCTCTACGTGTCGCTTCCCCCACGCTTCTTAACGGCTGCGCAGTGGTTCTTCCTTCGCTCCCGAGCTCTCCAAGGTACCATCTATCTATGTGCTCATGAGGTTCTCCAAGCTTAAATTTTGTACAAGGCACAGTATATTGTTCTCACCGGCGTTGAGAACTTTCATCTCCAACTCTTTTCGTTTTTTCTCCTCAGGCAACCCGGACCTTACCTTTCTCATGAACGCTTTCCAGCAACAACCGTTCATGGGATCATTTCCCATCGATAAAGCTTATAACGATTCGTGATACCAAATAATCTTTACGCGCACTCAGAATGGCCACCACCATAACCCCAACTCACTATTCCTCTATCCCCACTCTCGATTACTCCAAATCTCAGAAACCTGGTCCCGACAGAGATGCTTTTCTAGTCAGCCTTCGAGATATACTCATCAATATCGGCTTTCTCTACCTCTCCAATCACTCTGTCGATATGCAAGTTGTCAACAAAGTGATAGAATATTCGCCCAAATTTTTCCAACTGCCCCGGACTTTAAAGGACGAAATCGATTTTACGAACAGCCCTGCCTTTCTAGGATATTTCAATGTCGGTGGCGAGAGGGTCATCCATGCCAGGTCAGGTACAGAGGGCCCCTCGGCCATCTCTGAGACAAGGGAACAGTTCACGTTTGCAGCCGATAGGGATCCCAAGCTCTTCGATGGGTATCCCGAGTGGGCAAAACAAGATGGGAGTGGCTTGTGGCCACCTGAAGAAGCTATCCCGGGCTTCAAAGCTGCCCTGGTAGAATACTACGCGCAGGTGGAAGAGCTGTCGTACAACTTTGCTTCGCTCATTGCTGAGGCGCTCGGCCTCGATCCAGCTGCATTCGAACAGTGGTTCGACCAGGACCGTAGAAAGATGCAGCCTCGTGCAAAGTTGATGCGATACCCTCCTCTCACAAACCCTTCCAATCCAAAAGAGACAGGTATAGCATCCCATGAAGATCGCGGCTTCCTAACTTTCGTGAGTAAAGCAACCGTCGAGTTCTTATCGCTTGACAATCATTAATACCCTGATGACGGTAATGTAGCTATTACAAGCATCCAACGTCGCGGGACTGGAGGTGAGGAATTTATCGGGAGAATGGCTGCCTTGCCCCCCAATCGATGGGACTTTTGTGGTCAACCTGGGAAGAGGTTAGTGTCCCAAATTACCCGTTCTTGCTTTTTTCCGACATGTTTTTCTTTTATTAAAGCTCTCGAGAAAGTATCCCGCGGTGTATGCTTGGCAACTTCGCATCGCGTTCTATCTCCTCCAGGACCAGAAGTCCGTTATTCCGTCCCATTTTTCACCAATGTCAGCATGTTTGTTCGGATCGCAGACGCAGATCCTCAATGTGAGTATCTCTCGACGCTATCATCAAATTTGTTTGCTTATTTCACTCATAACGCATATATCTACAGTCCCGCAAGAAGTTTGGGAGATGTATAGAGCTCGACAGCGAAAGCTTGATCGACCGGTTGAATGTGGGTCTACATGGATCTCTGTTTTTTATCAAGCAGCTAAAACCGGTCTAGGGGTGTATTCGAAGATGGACAAAGAGCTCGCTGGCCTAACGCGTTTGACCTACAAGGTGAAGAATCACCCCGAGATGGGAATGAGACACCATCCCGTGTTCTTCAAGGAAGTCTTTCCAAACGGTCCGATCTCGAAAACTTCCACGGCCAACGGTGCTATAACGGCGTGAAGGATTTAACAATGTCCAGTTTGTGTATGCTTTGTAATAGCGCTTTCGCGATGTAACTTTAGCCATGAATGATGCTGAATCATTTTTTCACGGTCCTACAAGTCTCATTCGCGTTGCGGACTTGGTCTGACTCTCGAACCGGTTTGCGTTTATATAGAGTGGTCGTGAAGTAAACCGTATAGGGCCCATGGTGTAGTTGGTTATCACATCCGCTTAGCAGCTTCAGTCGAGTGAATCTTCGTGCGGGGGGTGCTGGGTTCAATTCCCAGTGTGTCCATTTTTTCCGTCTTCTGTTTTGCGTGATGTGCAGGCTATCAGATGGTTTTCACTGTTGGACAAAGGCTGTGATGTTTTGCGAGCAGCCGGAACGAAAAGTTAGATGCATTTATTATTAATTACCATATATTAAGTGGTACAGATGTACATTCAAAAGTGCATAGAGCCAAACAAAAAAAAGGAAGGTATTTATATCAATGCTGACAATTTCAGCTGCTTGCGGTTCCTATACACAAATTCAATATCAATAATCTCGAAAATAAGTTCCCTCCTAAAACGTACCTCTCGAATCTTTTCCGTCGTAGTGGTCCATGAATGCAATCGCGACGCCCTCCTTCCGCATCCCATTCCTTGAGGAATCCAAATTACTTGCCGCGGAAGTCGGATATATACTCCCCTCGAACTCTGTGCCCGTGCCAGTCGTGGTTCCGAGTGTGGTATTTGGTGCGTGGCGTGCGAACACCATACCAGGTCGAGAGTTTAAGGTGTGTTTTGTATCACCGTCTTCAGCGTCCGCCCACAGGGTACGCTGCATCTGTACAATAACGATTATCGCTGTTGGATACATGCCCTGTAATCCTCCGGTAAGTGGCGGATAGCAAGAAAATTGAAAAGCTCACCATGCCCTGTTGGATGATCGCATTGATGATATTGAATGCGATACTTGCTCCCCCAGACAGATTTTTATCATAAATCGGTATTGATTGTAGCGTCTTCGTATCGAGCCAGATGTTGAGAATATTCCAGAGAAATAAAAGGAGCAGATATACGTACGTATAAGAGCAGGTATGCCCCGCCAGACTCGATCAATAGTGTCAACACTCTCTCAGCTTGTGTACGCCGCCTTGACTCGTCAAGATACTGATCCATGAACTTGCGGTGCTCCCTACACGGAATAAGACCATGAGCATATCTCCTGGTGACAGAAGCTTAACACGATTACACACCAAGCTCGATACACAATCAAGCCTGTGCAAATGATATTTGTTGCAAACGAAAGCGTGTAGCTGGAAAGATCCGCATGAGCGCACTTTTCAGCGCCGACAGATCCAGCAGAAGGTGTGAGGTTGTTGATGGCCCAGTGAGTTTTGAGATCACAACCAAGTTCATATAGCGCAGCCACTGACGTCGTTAACGGCCGTAAGAAAATGCGAAGCGAACGAATAAGCGAATTTTTACCAATGGACCCAAGCAATGTCCCGAAAGGTATTAGCATTATTTTTCTCATGTCAGGAAACAAAGCCCAAGTACGCCAGAAGACCACCGAATCGCCGAGTGGTAGCTAAGGACAGAAAAAGGAAAATCCAGGCTAGCCATGCATTATGTCAGAGAAACTTACCATAAAGATGAATAGCATCTCTCCAGTCCAAACGAGTCTTTTTAATCTGTCGTCTGCTTCTGCAAGCTTGTCCTGATAGGCTTCGTCTGGGTTGTCGATAAGAATGAAGTTCATTCTTGCAACGAGATCGGCGATATCGAAGGACAGAAACGCTGTGGAACCAAGAAACAATATAGCCGTGACCAGGACGAGATATAGTGAGGGTCTGGTCTTGGTGTTTCCTACTCTACGAATGAAGAGAGTAACCAGGAAGTAGACGAGGATCAAGTATATCCCTGTTTTTTGTGTTTTTTTTTTTTTTTTCTGTGAGGAGGATGAGGAGGAGATATGAGATATTGCCCTACCGTAGAATAACGCCCCAAATACAACTCGAGCTACTTTGACCACGAAGTCGTTCCCAACATCCACAATAACCTCTCGGTCGGTGCTGGTAGTGGACATGGTATGTACCTTGTTAAAAATTCAGAAACAAGTCGGAACGGAGTGCAAGGTTGGATCCAGTAGCCCCTTCACTACCTGAGGGGAACGGCAAAGGAGGGGAAGTGGGATAAGGAAAAGGAGAGGCTGGTGTTAAAATGTGGATGTGCACAGAAGATAAGATATCTAAAAATCTGCATTCACACCACTTTGCATCTGAGTTTTTAAATGTTGCCGTACCGCTTCATATTCATTTAGCCCCTTGCGCTTTACTCGGCGTGAAGGTTTAAACATTTCCGGATACTTACCTGTAAAATCGATGTAAAATAAGGTAGCAGTCTTGGTTTGTCAAGTGACAGATTGTGATAAACTGGCTTTTCCTGATGGATTATCTCGTTGAGGTAGTTTTAGACCCCTCCGTAGTCTTCGGGATGGACTCTGTTAGAATCGCGTCGTATAGAAAACTTAAAGACACAGAAAATCAGAAATCTCCATTTTTCGATCATCAGATCAACTCCACTCATAGAAGATATGCGTAGTTGATGGCTCAGCATACTTAAGTTTAATCCGGAGTCAACAACCTACCTGACTCGACACTGGAGGTCAAGTATGTAACTTGACCGGAAAGTATGAGTGCAAGAGAAAAGGGGAAAAATCGATACAGACTCCCTCTGCAGCATTCCAGTACGAGAGACACGAGGGGGGCACGAGCAAGACACGAGAGTTGCGGCCTCGCGCATCCGCGGCAAGGGTTTTCAGGGTTGTCCCATCAATTCCGATTCAATCTTAATAGATTCACGCGGATCAAGTACATATTTCTACCTGACTTGGACCACCTATTAACGGTCTCAGCATTGGCGTCAGCTTCGAGTTTACATTCGGATTTTATGATGGTACTGACAAGTCTGTCTTACCAGGGTGCGTGTTATATTTTTTTTTCTCTTAACGAAACTTCGCTTCGTTCTGTTGGAACGCGTTGTCTTGACAGGACTAATCTTGACATCGAACATATTGAGGAACTGGCGCTTTGTTTGACTGACCAACTATCGCAATTGTGATACTGGCACCGGGTCATAAATCGCTGGTAAACATAGTGAATTTTGAAGAGAGTAGTACGACTCGAAATTCCATCATTTTACTCAATGCGTATATGATGAGCAGATGACTGTTTCAAGTTATTTCTTCATACCTGTGGATCTTTGGATGTGCAGTGCCATTACTGACGGGCGAAAGGGCGAACATATCCTGTTTGTCTCCTACTTCCTTTATGTCTAACTACACCACTCGCAGGTGTACGTACGATGGTTTTATGCACCCTTTCTTCCTCCGAGATGCCAAACTCAGTTGTCAATCATTTTAGAATGAGGGAGGTTGCATGTACGATATACTTAACCCCCTTTTTTCCAGTCGCCATCACGTCTCCTTTGCTATCCACTTATGCTTGTTTACTCCCTACATAGATCTTTCCGCGAACTTCTCAGGTCTGGTGTTGCATCAACGATGTGTGCTTGTTGACTGTTCGCTCGCTCATTTTAATCGGCTACAGCTATTTTATTTTTGCGTTAGCGACATCCTCTACATAGATTTTTTTGTTCGTGTTTCGCGATGGCTAAATTCATCCATTGCGACTTCGGATCGATCTCGGTGCTGTCTAAACTTGCCGTGGAAGGTACTACTCACATCTTCGTCGTGAAGCAGCAGCAGCTGGCATAGCTTCGCTACATTCATCATTACTCAAGGCTCTACACATAACAAGTCCGTGGCATAAAACAAACATCGAAAGCAAATTGGTAAATGATTATTGAAAAGAGTACTTTTCACGAAAATCAACGTTGCAGACTAATACTACTACCTACTACCACCTCGTCTCATGAGAATCATTCTCTCAGAAAAAATCATGATAGCGACCGATATCCCAACAAGTAAGCTACATAGAGATGAGAAAGATGCTAAATGGGACAGTTGATGGAGAAACGTGAGTTACAGTTTCCGGCAACCTGAGCTCACTCTTCGGATAGCTCCTCGAGTGATTTGCCCTTGGACTCAGGGATGAGCAGTGTGGAGAAGATACCGGTAAGCATGAACAGGGCGAAGATCTCGAGACTGGCACACACGATTAGACGATTAAACAAGAAATGAGGGTTCAGAAACTCACATGTGTCCCACAAACGCATTTGTTCCGTGAATGTTAGCGAGCTGAGCAAAACCGACTTGGGCGACGATGGCACCAAGCTTGCCGGTAGCGGCTGAGATACCGTGTGCAGTCGAGCGATAACGAGTTGGATAGACTTCACCAGGTATGACAAACGTTGTGACGTTGGGCCCGAAGTTCTGAAAGAAATTGGCCAGACAGTATAGGAAGGTAAAGCCATCTCTTCCGGCTTTGGTGGCTTTCAGAACATCGTATCCGAAACCTGTGAAAAAGGTGTGATTCAGCTATTGATTAAAGTGCAAACTAGAAAGAAGCCCTACCCATGATAATGAACAAGGCAGTGAGAACGATGAATCCCATGAGCTGGATAGGCTTGCGACCCCACGAATCAATGAGGAAGAACGAAACCCAGTAGCCGGGAATGAGACCAGCTATGGAGAGAATGACGTTTCCGACAGAGATATTCATGAGATTGTCATACACTCCTTGAGAGCCCGTGCTGACAGCAGATCCAAAGCCAATAGCTTCCAAGATGATGGAACTGTTCAAACCAAGTCCGTAAAACGCAATATCTACAGATTGAGACAGTCACTAAGCCAAGCGTCAAGAGGATGCGGCAAAAATGTGTACCTAGCGCGAACCAGGAGTAGGCAGTTCCAATAAGGACTTTCATGTTCTTCCATTGACCAAAGTAGGCCCCAAAGTCGGCCCAGCTGGCAACAGGAGCATTCACCTTCTCAGGGCCAAGATCGTTGGTCTCCTTGAGAGAGAGCATGCCTTCAATATCCCTGGAAGCTTGTTGGATATTTCTTTCTATATCCATAGTAAATCTCGGCGTTTCCGGTATGGTAAGACGGAAGTAAAGCGCGATAACACCCGGGACACATCCCATACCAATGAGGATACGCCAGCAGTGGTCCACAGCATTGAAATTGGGGGATACATCTTTGATAATGCTATCCCTGTAAGCAGCCACCGTAATGACCGAAATAACGGCAGCGGCTGTTAAGCAATCCAGAAGTTACTTCAAGCTTACAAAATATCAAAGAAATTTGCCCTTACCGAGCTGTCCCCAGCCTTGGAAGGCAAAGAC